AATTTTCTAATTTTTTGTTTCACTTGGATTCTGTAATACAAAACAAAACCAAATCCTGCGGAAAAAACTAGAAAAATTGTTACTCAATTTTCATAGAAAAAATCTCAATAGAAAAATTCAATACAAATTATAAATCTATGAAATTTTTCCCGATAGAATATCGAATAGAATTAGAAATTGGTAAACGACAGGTAGAATTTTTGATAGAGATGCTATAGAATTTTAATAAAATTTTAATAGAATTCTAATTGAATTTAAATAGAATGTCCTAGCGAAATCGCTAGGATTTTCTATGAAATTTTTTCATGCGTGGACACGTATGAAAAAAAATTATAGAAAATTCTATGGAGTTTTTATAGGATTTCGGTTTCTATTCTATTGACCTATTCTATTTATTTTTTGTCCAGATACTATCGGACATTTGATAGGAAAAATGTAAAAGCTTTAGAATCGTTATTTCGATTTTTCTATTCAGATTTTTTCCGGATCCTGTAATGCAAAACAAAATCGAATTCAGCGGAAACAATTGGAAAATTTTCTGCTTAGTTATTTCAATACAAAATCAGATTTCCTATAGACATACATGTAGTTCCAAAGGGATAGGGATGTTGCATAATACAGAATCCACTTGGTGCCAGAACAAAAGGAATTTTTCCCCAAAATTTAGAGAAAATCTATTTCAGGGATTTCTTTGAGAATGCATCAGAATAAGTTATCAAGGACACAAAATTTTCATGTCAAAATCGAGCACTTTTTCTGAGAAATTTTACTGGATTCTCATGGAAAACATGTAGGAATTCTCATGGAGTTGTATGGAGATCTATTGGAAAATTTATTGGAATGGTGGCAATTGATTATTGTTTCCATGAAAACTCTTGGATGCACTTTTTCTAAGTTCTTCCCTCTATAGTTCCATTTGTTTCTCATATGAAAAATCGAAAAAGAAGAACTTGGAAAATTCGGGCCCGAGAATTCTCATAGACAGAATCTCGATCGAATGAGTTATATGAGCGAATCCGCCAATTCTGCATATAAAAAAAAGCCTTCAAATTTTGAAAGTTTTTTTATTATTTTTTATCGAAAACTATCGTCCAAATGGAGTAAAATGACCGCAACCGGAGGTCTCTATCTCAATTTTTGGCGGAGATGTGGAAGATTGTTTTTTTTCTTCTCCTAAAAACTTGTTTTTTTTTCAATTGCAATTACAAACCACTGTAACTGACAAAAAAAAATTGAATCCATAAATTTTGTCGCAAATTTTCTCAGCTTTTTGAAAAAAAATATAGATTTTTATGTATCTATATATTTAGGCATGGAAAACTCAAAAATAAAGTTTCAAACAGCCATTTGGGATCATTCCCCAAACTTTTTTCAATTTTTTATATTCTCTTCTAAAAGTTCAGGAAATTTTGCAACGAAAACATATTTTTAATTTTGGTGCTTTCACTGATTCGGGGTGAAATGCAGAGAAAAATAAAATTTAGTCCTAAAAAAAATTAGTTTTTCAAAAATATCATGGAATCCAAAAGAGATAGAGAAATTTTGGTTAAGATCTTTTTTGTAGAGCAAAATAAGACCTACAAAAAAGCTCCCATAAGAATTTTTAGTCTTGCATAGATCCAGTGATATTCATCAATGAAACGTCGCCAAATTCAGTTATCAATTAGTTTTCTCACAATATCATAGAATCAAAGCAAAATATCGTTTTCTTGGTAACGACTTTTCTTGTGGTGCAAAACTAGATCTACAAAAAAGGTTATTACAAACAAATCTCTATCTCCTGCATATTCAGAGATATTTCCCAAAAACTAAGTGTCGGCATATCTTCTTTCGCACCGAAAAAAATCGTTCTTCGAAAATATCTTGGAACCCCAAGGAAATTTTTGTTCCAATCTTTTTTGCTGAGCAGTGTAAGAGCTACCAAAAAGTGCGCATGAAAATTTTCCGGTGTAGCGTACATTCAGTGATATTAATCAAAGAAATATCGCCAAATTCACCTACCAATTAGTGTCTTTACAATAGCTCAAGATTGAAGTGAAATATCGATATTTTGCTAAAAACCTTGTTTGGAGGGAAAACTGAATTTAGGGTGGATTGGGAAAGGGGTAGTGGAAATGCCGGTGAAAAACGAACGCACTGAGTCTATAAAAATTATACTGATTTATTCGGTGGAATCGAACCACCTTAGCGTCACTTGTTACACTCTGTTAATTGTCACTTAAATTGATTCAAACTGTTCTGAATTTAATACTAGAGATTTTCTGAACAATATACTGAATAATAAGAGACTGTACTGAGAATTTAAATAGGAGATGTACTGAGAAAACAAAATGTCTCGAACGGGTGATGTACTGACGCTGTTCGGACAACCGAAAGTAACTTTAGAAAAACGATATATTGCTCGCTCAACTCATTTGCTACGACTCTCTACGACTGACTGACTCTGAGATTCGGTGATTGACTAGGCCTGACCGTTGACCCGAGGTTTCCCGAAGATTTTCGTAAGTGGCCGATCTGTGGTCAAACCGTTGATATACTGAATTTTAACTGCGTTTCAAACACCCCGGAGGCATTCAACATCAGGTTGTTGAATTACTGGATCTGGTTTCTGCTGATGCTTTCTAAGGGGAGAAAAACAGGGTGAGAGACGTATCATTTGCCAAATTAAAAAACATATGGAAGATGATACTTAACAGTCCTGCAGTTCCTGGATGTCCCCTTGCTGTTGATCGTCTTCATCATCTGGATGATCTTCTTCTGGAGGTTGTTCTGGTGTAGGTGGGTCTGTAGGAAGCAGACAGAGCTTGGTGATTGGTCTGTCAAACACCGAGTGGGCTGCTGTGATGTTCTGGAGATTAGGCGACCCATCTTGATGTCTGCCGACTTCTGCTTTGCTCGTTCTGACTGTGGCTACTCTGGTGAGCCCATCTGCTCCTGGTCTAGTCGCGATGACTCTGGCGATTGGCCACTGGGCTGGTAGAAGGTTATCGTCGACCATCAGCACCATGTTACCAACCTCGATGTTCTGCTGACGTGTCTTCCACTTGTAGATAGCCTGGTATCGTTGGAGACACTCTTTGGACCACCTGGACCAGAACTGCTGAACTATCCGAGTCACGAGGTTCCATCTCCTCATCTTGAGGGGATTCTCGTCGACGTAGGATGACTCTGGTACTATCTGTAGAGGCTCGCCGATTAAGAAGTGTCCTGGGGTGAGAACCTGGAGATCTTCTGGGTCGTCTGACATCGGACAGATTGGCCTGGAGTTTAGGCAGGCTTCAATCTGAACTAAGACTGTGTTGAGTTCCTCAAATGTTAGCGTTGTCGTTCCCAGGACTCTCTTGAGGTGATGCTTCGTTGATTTTACTGCTGCTTCCCATTTGCCACCAAGGTGGTGAGAAGCTCCACTGAGTCCCATTAGTGGCGAGAGCAGCCTGAACACGTTGATTTTCTTTAGATGCTTGGTGCTAGAGCCTTTCGAGTTGATCTGCTGCTCCGACGAAGGTGGTGGCGTTGTCACTGTACATGACTGCTGGAATACCTCGTCTTCCGGTGAATCTCTTGTAAGCTCCGAGGAAGGCTTCTTTGGTTTGCCTGTTGACGAGCTCTAGGTGAACTGCTGACGTGGTGAAGCACATGAACACTGCGATGTGCACTGATCCCGGTTGAGCATTCGAGGGTCTCCACTTGAGGATGGCGAAAGGACCTGCAAAGTCCACCCCCGTGTGGAGAAATGCTCTTGCTGGTGAGACTCTGGTTGCGGGCAATTGACCCATCTGTTGCTGAGCCTGTCTAGCTCGGTGTCTGGCGCAGATAGCACAGCGTAGGATGTAGGCTCTAACTGTGCCCCTGCCACCGAGTATCCAATAGCGTTGCCGAGTGTAGGCCAAGGTGAGCTGTGTTCCTCCGTGGAGGGTCTTCTGGTGAGCTTCTGCGATTACGAGTGTGGTGAATCTGGACCGACGTGGCAAGATTATTGGGTGGATCTGTTCTGGATGGAGTTCTGAGTTCTTGAGGCGTCCCCCAAGTCTCATGATGCCCTCCTCGTCCAGAGTTGGGGTGAATTTCGCTAACTGGTGATTTCTAGGTAGCTGCTGATTTCTGAGAAGTACCCTGAGTTCTGAAACAAAGTACTGGTGTTGTGTTATTTTTACCCAAAATAATCTCGCATCGTTGAGTTCTCTGGTCGTCAAGATAGATCCCGGGGGCATTGGCTGCCTCCTGAATCTGTCGATGGCCCTGTTGATGGGCGCTGTTACTGCTAACAGCTTTGCCATCGTGCTGTATCTGTTGAGGAGCTCGGCAATCTCGTTGATTCTCTGTACGACTGGGTTAGATTTTGCTGGTTTCGCTTGTTTGGCCACTTCTGGGATGTCCATTGGTGGAGCATCGATAGTTGATCGTGGTCAGTCTTCAGGGTCCTGATTTATCCAATCAGGTCCTGTCCACCAGAGGTGATGATCTGCTAGCTGACTTAGTGTTATGCCCCTGGAGGCGCAGTCGGCTGGATTCTCCTTCCCATTGACGTGTCTCCAAGTGGCATTCGGGAGAGTTTCCTGGATTTTTACCACTCTGTTGTGGACGAAGTCTTTCCATCTCGAGGCCGGAATCCTGATCCACGGGAGAGCTACTGCTGAGTCTGACCAAAGGTGAGTTTCTACCTGGTCTATCTGGAGCATCTGCTGCGTTGATGTTACGAGTTGAGTTAACAGGAGAGTTGCAGTAAGTTCCAGATGTGGAATAGTCATGCGCTTGATCGGTGCTACCTTGGTCTTAGCGCAGACCAAAACTGTGGAGGCTGGCTTGTTGAGATTCTGAGTGCGAATGTAGACCACAGCACTCATAGCTACTGTTAAGGCATCTGCGAATCCGTGTAATTGGATGTCGTTTGTCTGAGGTGAGAGTTTGAGCCATCTGGGTACTGCAACTTTATCTAGTTCGGTGAGTTCCTGGCGAAATGACTCCCAGCGGTGAATGTACTCTTGGGGGAGGGGGTCATCCTAACTGCATTTGAGTTTCCAGAGATCCTGAAGGAGAATTTTCCCCTGGACGACGACTGGAGCAATAAATCCCAAAGGATCGAAGATCTGGGCTATCTCTGAAGAGACAATTCTCTTGGTGATCGTCTCTGTTTTCAAGTCTCTGGATTTGTACTGGAATGTGTCGGACGACTGATGCCAACACAGACCTAGTACCTTGGTGACGGACTCTTCAAACTGAATGACTTCTTCCTCTGTTGATAGGCCGAGCTCATGCAAGAGCTGAGGGCAATTACTGCTCCATTTCTGGAGAGGGAAGCCTCCTGCCTGGCAAAGTCCTTGTAACTGCCATACTATCTTCTTGAGTTCTGCTGGTGAGTCTGCTCCGCCGTAGATGTCGTCTACGTAACGACCTCTGGTGATTGTCTCGACGGCTGCTGGAAATCGTGGACCCTCGTCCTCTGCTAACTGCTGGAGAACTCTCAGAGACAGCCATGGGGAGCAATTGAGCCCGTAGGTGACGGTGGTGAGCTGGTAGGAGATTTGGTGTTTGTTGTCGTCAACCCACAAAATTCTCTGCAGGTCCCAATCGTCCTGATGAACTCCTATTTGCCTGAACATCTTGACTATGTCAGTGCCAAACACAAGCCTGTGCTTTCTCATCCATGTTAGAACGTCCATGGCGTTGGTCTGAAGTTTTCCACCTGCATGTAGAATGTCGTTGAGTGACGTTCCTGATGAAGTGGGGCTGGAGCCGTTGAAGACGACTCTCAACCTTGTGATGATTGCATCTGCTCTCAGAACCCCGTGGTGTGGAAGATAATAAACTGGAACGGGTTCTGCTGTC